ACCAGCTTTCAGACCAAAGTGGATTGAAGCCAAGTGAGATCTCTCCCCTGAGCCCATATACTGTGCACAGTTGCATAATCAGTGTTACTTTTCTGTAAAATATCTCATATGGAGATACAAAGTGAGCAGACATTACAGACATGAACCAGGTATTTCAGTGGCAATTCTCCCATGAAATCACCATCTGAGTTGCCAGCAGCACTAAAGGCAATAAAATCACTATAGAAATTGCAAATGAAGCAGCTGATCTATAACACAAACAAGCATTATTCTTTGTTAGTAGCAAAGATAAAACAACTGCAAAGAAAAAGAGTTCAAGACTGGGAAACTGATTTCTCCAGCTGCTGATATACCCAGCAAGATCAGAAAGGCCTCAACCACAGCTGATAATAGCTCCCTTCTTCGTGATATTCCTTAGAAACTAAATGGCCAACTGTTGGAGGAAAAAGTAAGTCCCCTAGATTGTACTTTATTTCCTATATTATTAAGCTAAAGACCATCTTATAAGCAAGGAATTTTTACGTTAAAAGAATTAGCCCAAGTTTATCAAGAGAATACCGAGAATTATATTTCTTATTTTGCCATCATAAGCAAAATCTGTTTCCTTTCTTTCCTTCTTGTTACCGGGTTAAAGGGAGCACTAACACAGCACCTGCCTCACAAAACAGGACCTTGATTTTTGAGAAGAATGTGTGGATGATCCTATCCAGAAAGAGCTTTGGGAAAGACATTGTGAATAGAATAAATCCTTAAGGTGATCTAATCGTTTCTCTCAATAAGTTCAGGGTTTGGGTTTCTGTAGATTCCATTTTTTGATTGCCCGTATCACAACCAAGAACTTCATCTGGCACCAAGAAGCTACAGCAGATGGTATTATTGCCCGACACAAATATTCCTAACGTGGATAAAGTTTTTTTAATCTTAATTTCAAGCAAGAAGTACATGATTCAATTTTAAGAATAAACAGGGCAAGTACAGCACTGTTGAGTTCACAAAAACTTTCTGCACCAATATTGAGACCCAGATGTTCCCAGAAATAGAAAAAAAAACAATAAATAGTCAAGAAAAACAGTGATTTAATTTACCAGAGGGGCAAGTGACATTAGCAGCTCAAGGATACCGGAATATAAAGTTACAGTACAGTACATATGTCTTCAGTGAGAGACAGCCCATTCCAATTTTCCCTGCTCCCATTTATGTTGCAAAGGTTCAGAACAGCTTTGGTATCTTTTTTAATATAATAAAATAAAGGGAGGTTGCAGTATTTTTTTTTCCAGGCTTAAGTATAAAATTGATATAATATGGCTGAGCTTGCACATATCCTCAGTTCCTTCTGCAGGAAAGCACAGTTGCACCCAGTTGCTAAGGCAAGAGAGGAGTTGTTGACATTTCTTACCCAGAAAAGCAGCCATCAGCAAACTAGCAGTCCTATCTATCTCTGCTTTAAGTCTCCATGTCTGTCAAACAGTTTTTCCAACTTGCCGTCTCTAAAATCACTTGCTACAGACTTTAAGCAAGTTTGAGTTCTCACTATGGTCTAATGTTGCCTGCTCTGTTTCAGTCCAGGCTGCCTTTTCAAGTCCTTTATCACGAACACCACAGCACACAGATCTTTGCTGGGGTCTAAGCTTTTTGGTTTATTTTATAGCTTAAAGTCATGTGCAGCCCACACATGCAGGCTCTGTTGCCAAGGGCCTGCCTAGCCTCATTATCCCAGTCTGCAGACATCAACAGGCACTCATGAAAACCAGACCTCTAATTTTCTTTTACTACAAAGTGTATGACCACGGTCTGGTCTTCTCTATGAACACGAGGTGTTCAAGGAAGCCAACAGAAATTGCTGTATGAATGCATATGGTGTGCCTTCTACAAGTCCTACAGGAATTATATTAACCCCAGCCTTCAGCTTAAGTCTGTATTTTTCTGCTGAAATGAGATTTTTAACTTGACTGGATTCAGCTATGAAATACAAGGCCTTGCTAAAAAGGTACATTAGCTCATTTACATGACCATTACATGGAGCAAATCACGACTCTGGACATGGATCTATATAGACTGGACAACCTTCCAATTCTGCAAAGGCACTCAGGACTCCTGCATTTATCTATTCATGTTGAGAGAATTTCTATTTACCTTTTACCTTCTTTGGAATAATCAAGAGCTTAAAAAAAAAAGGAAAAAAAGAAAAATCAGCCTAAGCTGTGCATTTTACTTATATGACTGAATAGTTTCCACCTTGTCATCTTGGATCTTAGTGATTGGAACTAAAAATATACTTCTAGTTAGTTTGCCAGACCAACTAGTGTTAATAGCAGTAGTAAGCCATGCTAAATCCTGCTCACATGGGAAGACCCAGCATGTAGCTGGTGCTGCTCGCTGAAGCGGCAAACGGGAGGTTCTGACTTGCAGGACTGTGCCACATCTGTGAAGGGGAATTTCCTATCCAAGTAAAATGGGGAATTAATGGGGAATTATCCCATGTAGGATAGCTAGGAAGAGCTATAAAAGTCAGATGTATCCATTTTCAACAGATGGGTTTTCATACTCACTGGTAGAAATACAGAAGGGCAACACTATGATAATACTCAGTATCCTTTGTAGGAACTCCTTTTCTTACTACCACCCACACCCTTCTCCCCATTAGCTTCCAGCATGCTGCGCATTGTCTTGCCTTTTCCAAGGCTATTCACAAAGTGCCCAATATTTTGTATTTCTTCTTTTAAATCCAGAGAAACTTCCCTGCCGAGAAGTAACACAGCAGCAAAGCAGTGTTGTACCTCCAAGGTTTGAAACGCTTTTCCTTGATTTGTATATTTGTTTGAAGAACAGTCAGCAAGCACCTCTGCTGCTTCTATAGAAGCCATGAATTGCTTCCCCAGGCACAGGCCTCACTGTTGTCAGCCTGGGGTCAAAAGTGGATGAGGCAAGTTGACACTGATTTTATTTCTGTGGTAATAACGGAGTGGCAATTTAATCTCTAATCATTTACAAACATTAACAGCTTGCAATTAGCAATGATTTAAACTGACAGACAAGATGGGCCATTACTGCCCTTTCAGGGAGGCAGCAGAAACCAAGGGAGAAGGTAAATTTAAGTGACCTACATAAAATGAGAGCAGCAGCTAAACCCAGACCCAACTTGAAAAGTCCATGTTGCCTTTGTGTAAAAATCAACAAAGGCACAAGTAGGATCACATACAATCACATGGACTCACCAGTGTGATTTGGGGAGTAGCACAGCCAAGTTCTTATGAACTCACACCCCATTTAACAAGACAGGGGTTGTATTATCACATGAATACAGTCAGCCCTGTAGACACATGCTGTTGCAGACCCAGGGAACTTGGGTACTGTCCTGTATTCCCCATGCTTCCATTCAAGAATTACTACAAAGCCAAGCTGAATGTTTCTTTACCTACAGTGTCAGCATGTCACAGGGTCATGCTTCTCCATGACCTCTCATTATCCAGAGGAGAAAACTGAAATATAATGGTTTCAAAAGTTTTCTATGTTACATATGATTTTCTGCATAGTAGTCACTGTAACATGCACCTATTTATGGGTTTTGCTTTATCACTCCTGGCAGGGAGAAAAGTTTCAGTTTGCAGACCAAAACCACAAGAAGATAGTTCTCAACAGTCCTCACTTCTCCCATCTTAGACACAGGATCTTCCTTACCATTAGTTTTCTTTGTTAGTTTTCTGTGATTTGCTGCTCCTTACCCTCTTCTTCTACCTCCCCCTCAACAGTGAGCAGAAAACAAAGGATAAAAGTTGTTTCCTAAACCTCTCTCTCCAGGAACGTAAATTCACATCCATTAAAGTTAAGCAAATACACTAACATTAAAAAGGAACCAATTGCTTAAGCAAGCAAGAAAGCACTGTTGAAAGCCCAAAGCCTCCCCATAGAAAACACTCCACATCTCAAAGGTTATATTTTATAATACATATTATAAAAATAATATTTAACATAATAAATTATAATATTTTTATAACTATAACATTTTATTTATACATTTTTAGTATTTTATCATTATATGTATATAATTCTATATAACCATATCTCTATTATATTTATTATTTTCTTTATTATTGCATTTAGTATTTATAAAGCATTTTGTAATATTTTATTATTTATTGCTCATTACAACAGCAAAAAATAATAAAATAAATACCCAACAGCATGGGCACCTAACAGGACAGAACCATTTAAAAGCAAAAAACTTAGATCGTCATAAAACTGTGTGTTCAGATGAAAGCAACCAGAACTCGTTAGCCATTCCCAGAAATTACAGTTCACACACACTTAAAAATACCAGCAAAACAAAGATTGGAAATTATGAAGTATTAACAAATTGTTTTAATTAGCCCAAGCACAGCAGCATGTTAAACTCCCCCTATTTCACTTACCCCATTCCCAAGACAGCTCAAGTGGAAAACACACTGTTACATAACACAGGCCACGTTTTGCTGAGCAACTCTCTTAGCATAGCTGTAGCAAGCAGGGCAAGAGACCTGGACTCAGGTACCCATCATCACCTTGATACATATTATACAGCTGAACACTTCAATCCAGACAAGTACAAGTGACTTGCAGCTACTTTCCATCATTTTTTTTACGATGCCCACTAATTACACCCCACAGCAACTACATAATTCCAGCTCCTTTTGCAGTAATCCAGAACAGTATTCTATAAAGACTTTGCTTTAGGATTCCCTTAGAAGCACTCCATGCTGTAGCTGCTATAACAGCATACTTGTTCCTGGAGAAACCTGCCACTGCAGTCCCTTTGGCTCATGCTTACCTTGGGTTTTCCACATGTTAGGTCGGAGCACAGCTCTCTTCTGGCCAGCATCCTCAGCACTTCACTTCAGAAACAGCAGCAGCACCCAGTGCAGATTCAGAAAAACAGAAAGATAACACAGATCCATACCACCCACAGTGGTAGAGACTCCTCAGCTTCCCCAGCTCACCCTTCCCAACCACACCACCCCTCTTACCTCTTTGTTAGCTCAAATCTACATAGAAGTCCAAAGCAGGTCAACCTCCTCTCCAAGATTTCCTAGTGTGATGCAGACTCCAGTCACTCCCTTTCCAAAGCCAGGCAGTTTCCTCAAAAGCCTTCAGGTAGCAGTCTTTGACTCATGCTTAGTCCTAGCAGAAGTATGAGTAGCAGCAAGAAGCCAGTAAAACCCTACAGAAACCATCTGTTGTTATAAACACCCTTAGAGTGCTTATTCAATCTATTGATGGCATATCTTCATCAGGTTTATATATTTGAACTTTTTAAAGCAAATTGTTTCCTGGCCCTGCAAATCCTCCCTCAGCCCTGTTAGCCACCTGGACCCAGCTGAGAGAAGTTGTAAAGTTAATTATTAGAGCTAATGGCTCCAAGCACACCACCTGGGCTGGGGCATTGCCTCAGCACATGCTTGCTGTCCACACCAGTGGGAGCCTCTTTGGTCAGTGTATTGGTCACATTGCAGCACATACTACAGCATATATGTATCATCCCACCTCAGTGACATATTCCAACTTAGAAAATTTCTCATGTGCCCAGGCCATGTTTTCCCCACACTGTAGGGGACCTTGTATGCTATTTCCTTCCTATTCTTTATGGCATATGCTCCAAATCAGTGTGGGGTTACCAGAAATCAAAGGATAGGCATGACAGACTGCCAAGATAAAATATCAGCAGTTTTCCTGGTTTTCATCTCCCAAGACATCATCCATCCCCCACATTACCCAACCCTCCTTTCTCAGTATACTTGCCCCCAAATCCTCCAGCTCATTATTCCTTAAGAAGAGCTTCCTGTCCTCTAAACAGCAACACCACTTCTAGCCCCAAACCTTTGCTTCTCTTCATTATTTAGTTTCTCACTAGTTGTTCCAAGTCCCACTACCTGGCAGCCTCTAGTAAAGAGCTGCAACTCCTCTGTAATTCCACCCCCAACAGAAGCAGTAGGTGCTGTGCCATTCCCTTTCCATACTGCCATTTCATCTTCCTGTCCTTGTACCCACTGCTGGGGACTTCACCCTTCAGACTCTGGCTTGAGCCTGTTATTGCCAGGTGCTATGTTTTGACTCCAAGCAGCGATCAGTTAGACTCCAGATGCAGTTGAGCAGACTTCTCTCTCCTTTGCTCTTGGTGAATACTAAACAGTGCCCAGAGGAGGCAGTGCCTTCCATATGTTCCTAGACTTGTCTGAGTCTTTTCAAGAAATTGATTGTTGTAATTTAAAGCGTAAAACCACATTTCTTAGCTTCAAAAAGGAAGTTACTGTTCACCCTGCAAGGGGAAAACTCTATTTGAATCATCTTTCACTTCACAAGCCACAGATCACAATGTCTCCATAACATTAATTACAGGATTTAGCACAGAATTAAATTTATGTAAATAAAAGTAATTATAATAATTATTGCTACTATGGTGCAATTATATTACTAATTGTGCCCTGACTTGCATTTCTGGTATCAGCTATGTCTTTATATACTTCACCACCACCACCCTCAGAGGGAAAAAAACCAAGTTCCTCCCTCACACACAACAGAGCACTTCATCACCTACCAGAAATCTAAACAAACTATCCTGTTCTGACCTGCTAGTACTGATTCACTGATCTTGTTAGGTTTAATTGTTCAGGAGACAAATAGAGCAGATATAGCAGAGGGAAAAGCAAGTATTTGTGTCTAATGGAGTGCCTTCTGTCGTGTAGTTATGGATAGATTTCCCATTTAGTACCAGTATTTTCAAGTTTCTCATAAACTGCAAACTGGGATGCAGTTTGACTTCGAAGACCCAAAAGAATAATGTTTCTGAAACACAGTATATTCCCTGAACCCGCTGAGAACTCTGCAGGTATTTCACACCTACATAGAATAAGCAATTACTAGTCAAATGTGGTTTCAGCTCCAGTTGTTGCTCTATAGCTATGTCGGTACCTATGTTTGTGTCTAAATCACAAGGCAAGAATGCTCCGGAAAGTAAACCATTGCCAGTTGCCTAAATTTGCAGAGTTACGAATCTACCCTTGCTGCCAGCCTCTTTGCTTCCAGGGGCTATTAGAGTGGACACAAGATAAGAAGGTGCAGGAAGGACGTTACTTACCTGGGTCTTATGTCAATACAATGTCAAGATGTGTCTGGACACCCATCCAATTATCAGCTAAGAAGCCTTATAAATAGACTGACACCTCTCTCTTGTGATTTATTCTATTAGCTTTCTCCTCAGCATGGCTCAGTAGACTGGGAAATAAAACTTTAGCTATGTAAAGCTCTAACCCAGCAAGTGATGAAAAAGTCTAGAAGAACTGAAGAAGAGTATGTAGAGAATACACTGAACCAGTATTACGCTATGGTACTGGAAGCACCAAAATTTATATTTTTTTCAGGTAAGATGCAAAATGCAGGTTTCTGTTTGGTGTGATCATTGTTGGTCTTTCAAAAGTTAGGAGGTTTACTCTCAGTGAACAAGCAAAAGTTCCTCATGTCATCCTTTTTCACTGTTTTGTACACCTGTTTCAAACTCTCTTGTAGCTGCATTGTACACATTCTACTCTAAAAAGAAAAACAAAAAAAAAAACCATGATGAATATGCTAAACTGGAAAGTGAGGATTTTCATCTAAAGGCAGCTTTTATACCAATGTGTAAGAATATAATTACAATGGAATGAGTTTGTAGTTCATTAAGCTTCCGTACTATATAAACTTAAGGCAGAAAATCCTGTGCCTGATACTTACTATATAAATAAATAATACTATGACTTCATGGAGATATACTATCCCTATGTGACAAAGGGTTACTGTCATTTCATGACCTCGTTCAGCTTTATTAGACCTGACTGCCTTATCAATATGGCTGTCCTTCCTGCATACTCTACTTACAAACATATACTACTCTGTTTATCTGAGCTAGTACAGATGTCTCTCAACACAACCCTTCATTATGCAGCATAGACATATGCATTCAACATCTCAAGCAGTCATACACAGTGCAAGGCCAACGGTACCACATTGGTTTCTAAGTTCACAAAACGATTTTGGCAGAAGCCATCTTCAAAGACATGAAATATGCTGAGTATAGCCATCGTTAGAAATTAGCTCTATGCCTCTTGCATACCCAAAGCTCCCCCTGAAGTATAGAAGAGATTTGTTACAAGTACTTCAGTGACAGTGAACAAGCCCCCTTGTTGTTATCAATGAAAGTCATTCACTTGAGCTGCTAAGTGATTTTTCATTATGGTATGACGAGCAACCACAGATTTAGCTATGACTGGAAGAGAAGTAAAAATGCAAAAATGGAGAAGCAATTTTTACGGACTGATTTTTTTAAAAACAAACAAGTGTCAAGGAATATTACGTACCACATCTAATTACCCACCAGTTCAGCAGAAACTGTAGCTTTGATTTCACAAATACAACGAGGTGAAAAATCACAAAATCTCTGCTGAATGGAGGACAATTCCTCTGTTGGCGCAGAGAACCATGCTTTTTCATACAAAAACATTAACCGGAATAATTTTTGCACTCGGTCTGCTGTTTGCAACAGGAAATTTCCGACAAATCACACCATAACTTACTTCTAATGACCACTTATCTATTGCAAATCATTACATCTTCACAGCCAAAGGGGGGTTGGTACTACCTTACTAATAGCTTATTAAAATGGTCAGGAGCTTCCTGTAGACTATAAGAACTACATAAGAAAATTAGAGAGGAAGAGAGACACTGAAAGTTCTGGTATAAACTTTACAAGATCTAATTAATTTCAGTAGATGAAAACCTGTGAAATAACTTTCCTCACACACAAGTATGGTTCTCCCAAAGATAAAAGAAACATTCTTTAAAAAGCTTTCATTACAATTGAGTCAGCTTAGTGTAAGTCACTGCAAAAAAAAAAATACTTAGCAATAATTTTTTCTTGTGTTACAGAAACAATTTGAAAATTATTTACCTTTCTCTAGGCAGTCTTTTGTTGCTGTATTTACTGTGAGACAAAAACTCCATTAGTTTTTACCCATGAATTGGAAAAGTGGATTTTAGTGCAGTTCTGTATCCGTTAGGCCAATGACACCAAAGCCATTTGGTATTCTCTAACTAAATAAATATGCTCAACTCACATAATCTCGTTTCATGTTTCTTCTGATTGGATTGGTTTTCTCACTCTTTAGCACTAGGGGAATGCCACTGTGCGTGTTTTCTTCTCAAGAACCAGCCTAACCAGAGATGACTGCTGCTGTCTCTCCAACTGACTAACACTAACTGGATATAAATAAATTTTCTTTCAATCTTTGATTATTTCTACCACAACTGTACTACATAATAAATATCTAGTATAATAATTAAATGCTTTTATTGAACAGGATAGTTATTATTCTTTTCTTTTTAATAAATTGGGCATTGCAAAGATCAACTCCACAAAACACCATATGGCTAATTTCAGCAACTTTGTAGGTCCAACTGTATTTTCTTAACAAATAAAATCATGATGGGCTCCTCCTCATCACTTTGTAAGATTGTAAAACAGTGATCTGGAATAGCATATATGTAGCTGCTATCACAAGATATTTGGCAGGGGGGCTGGAACTTGATGATCTTAAGGTCCTTTCCAACCCTAACTATTCTATGATTCTATGATTCTAAGTAAAGCCATGATAAAACTGAGATAGCAGCATTCAGGTGGTCAGATTTTGGAGAAGCAGTACGGTTTTGATCTCAGGCAAGAGCCATTCAGAAATGTTGTATTTTTGCACATTTTCCCGGTTTGGATTTTACTGCTGGAGAAAAGTATCTTTTTCTCCATTAAACTTAACCACATTCATGCACATGTTGCTCGCAGTGTCATAAACAACAACTGTACATACACAAAACCTACAGAAAAAGATTGTAACCAATAATTTTTTTTTAGAAGAGGGCAATAAAGAACCAAGGAGAGCTCCTGATGATACTATCTGTTGGGATGTCATCAATCTTCCCAAGTGGTCTAAAGGGTAGCTAACAAATAAAGACGGAAGGCTGATATTCTGCTCCTAACTCTTGTTTCTTGCTGCCCTCTGGATATGTTTTTTACTTTTCTTATCTGTAAAAGCTATGCTATTCACACAGACCCCCTTTTAAAGGAGAGTTTGGGATCTAGATTTGAAATAAGTACACGAGAACTACGCAGCTCAATCTGAAATCAATGCAATAAATCCACATGCATTTGATTTCATAGCAACAATCACAATAGAAATATTCTACATTTAAAACTCACGGAAGGATCCAAATAAGCACAGGAACAAGGGCAGTACATCAGTGAGGGTGGGTTACTTTTTCAACATTAAGTTAAATAATTACCGTTTCCACTAACACAAGCTAAGATTGCAAGTTAAAAGATGGTAAGGAAAAAGAGTATTGGACTAGAAGTAAACAGGATGAAATAACTGAAAGGCTCTTCTCATCTGTGTAAGACTTTCAGACACAAAAGCTTTGTTTGTGGTTCAGAGAAACAAAACAGGAATTAGAAGTTCAGAGAAAATGTTTTCCAAATTCTTTGATCCGGAGTTTGGTCTAAAGAAGCAGTTCTCCTACAGTTTTATTAAGCAGCTTGATAAGAAAACAAGCATTTTTCAGTTTTACTTTATATTCATTCCTTGTTCACGGCCTGTATAAAGAGTTACTTCTTAGAGCACTTTCATTACCATTAATTTCATCAGCACAGCACTCAGCAGTGCTCTTAATGTGGTTTTAGGCACATTCTCTTGATTTTCTTGTACAGAATAAAGATACCAAAAAAAAGTCCCCTCCCAAAATATGCTAACCCACCAGTTTCCTTAATTTCTATAGGAAGAGGAAAGAGCAGGTGGAATATTGAGCACTGTGCATCCTGCCATGTTACTATCACAGATACTATTACTTACCTGCATCAGTGATTCTCCCAAAGTGTTTTGGCACAATACAAAGACTGCAAATGACAATCACAAGACAGAACTCCTTTTTGAGTGTGGTACAGATATCCAGGTCCCTATTTGGGTACTGTAGTTGCCAATAACTGCTTTTTTTATTTTGTCTTGTATCTTGAAGAATGTAACAATCCTTACTTGAAGTTTTTTCTCATTAGAGTTAGGAAGTGCTATCTCTCTAAAGGAAATCAAATACGGGTCCTATGAATCTTTCATAATGCTTTCACCCAGAGCAGCAGTTAATTGCTACATTATGGAGAATTACATTACCTCCTAAATTTACATGCTATCAATAAATTCAAACTACATCTCCTCTGCAGTTCACTTCCTATACCATTCAGTATCTCCAATTTTTACCCCAAACCTTTCATGCTGTAGCACTTAACTTCAAAAAGGAGCAAGATACAGAAATTGTGGACGGTATTCTTGATTAGAAGAAAGCATGATCATAATAAGGACTACAAAACATGTCAGTACACTCTTCTTCAAAAGCCAAGTAAAAAAGAAAAAACAACTCACAATTTATCAGGTATGAAAGAAATGTAGTAGGGATTAAGCCCTAAAAATACCCTGTAACCTTATCTTTGACAAGTGCATTATACTTACTGCTAGCAGACCTGTGGCTTTCTGTCTAGGTCTCATTTTAGCAACCTTTGTCAGCTTGTCACACCTGTACCTTTTGAATTGAACTGCAAGACAAGGAGAAGAGTTTCTTCTCAAATCTTAGAAAGAGAACTTGTACATCAAGTATTTTAAGTGCAGATATGGCAGCTACAGCATTCCTGGAAACCTTGGGATATTATACTAAAATAAAAGTCAAGAGCTACAATGTGCATTTGGTGCACAGGCATACATGAAATGGTTTGCTGGCACTTACCAATCTGTACAGAGTAACTGCCTGCAGAAGGATAATCCCAATTAGTGCCCTTTCCATGAGTATTTTTGATTTCTGAAATAACACATGCATTTATAGAGATATTTTTTTCTCTATCTTATTTTTCTTTAGTCAAACTTCCATCAATGAATCCTGAACAATTTTGATCTTTTTGGAAATGGACTCACAGCATCTGTGCTGTTTGCACCTTTCACATAGACTGGAAGCTCAAACACCTGAAGGTGCTGCAACATACTCAGGAAATCAATTACAGCTGACTAGCTCCCATAACCTTAGAGAGGACAGCGAGACTCTGTGTCTTCTGTTATATATTGTTGTTCTTACAGCATTTCTCACTTGAGAAAAAAGAAAAATAATCCCACAAACAGTTTAAGTTTCAAGGGATGTGAAAGATTTCTTGACTTCTACTGCTTAGCATTTTTGTCTAGAGTTAGAGGAAGTGTGTTCAATCCATGTTCTACATTTCACAACAAGTTACGTGTTCACAGAAGTTAAAATATGGCTTAACACTGTTTGCCTCCATAAATGGCTTGATTAGAACTGCATGGAGTAGACCTGTTACAGGTAAAACCAGTGGTTTCTTAAAAACTTACAGATCGCAATACAGAAATTAGCACACACAACTGATTCTTTATGTGTATCAAATAAAAGATGTTTCCACTGCCATCATCAGCATAACTGAATGTAATTCATGCATGTTCAAGGCATCTTTGAACTATGTAGATCAGGTTTTGCAGCTCTTTTAACTAAGGCAACACAAAGCTTCAGGCAGGCTGCAAAACTTGATGGAGCAGCAGGGCCAATGCTTGAGCATACAGAAGAACACAATGAGTTCCAGGCTGCTATTAGAATGGGGCTGATATTTAATTTAGCTAGTTATGGTTAAGACCAAATTTTTAGTTTAATATTTTAAATCCTTATTCAGTGAAGAACCCACCAAAATGTCAAAAGAAATAAGCCTGAACTTTAAGTACCACTTTAATTTTTCAATTCATTTTTCTGAAATTATACATAGTAATTATGTTTCATATTTTTGACAGGTTTCCCATAGACCTTCAAGGGATGTAGGGCTTATCCTTTGTCCATGTTGTTGCTCTTTGCATTTTTAGCTCCAAAACAAATTGTTCTTCCTTCTTTAATGCCTGTTATAGGTGTGGTGGTTTGTGGTGGTTCTTTTTTCCCCTCACCTCAAGTGAAATTTACTGAAGTGTGTCTTGGGTCATGAAACACATCATGAAATAAGGAGGAAACTTTACAACACTGATCTACTAACAACAGTATTCTATCTATGACAGTATTGCTAATACAGAATGTCTTCCCAAGTGTATCTTAGATAATGCCTAAATTAGATGTCAGATAATTTGCTCTAAGGAAGTAACAAATACAAAATCATAAAAGAGGCCTCAGGAATTACATTATACAGAGAATTTGAACAAATGTTGAAAAGAAGGCTGAAGAGATGGCAGAATGTAAGATGAACAGTGTTACAGACAATAGTAGCATGCATGAAAAAGAATATGAAAATCTTTCAACTATCTCCAAACTTTTACAGAGTAACTTATTGTAGTCTTATTTGTCACAAACCAACAATTATTTTGAGGGTTTGCCCTTGCTTCTTCCTCCTTGGATGTATCAGCAAAATCTAGGAAATCACTGGCAGTCCTAGAATTGGAATAGATTTATTGTATGTATACTGGACAAACATAATAACAAAGATTATATAGACAAACCAGCTTGAGAGAAATCAAAAAGCTTTCTTACCTACCAAATATTCCACTAGCAGAAAAGGCAATTTGGTTTGTGACTAGCACACTACCTTGAAAAATCATACTTTGTTCCACCTCTAGTCTGCTCTGTGATCTAAAAGTAGGTTATTTCAATGACTTGTGTCTCAGTTTTTTCCTCCATAGGGAGATAACAAAAATCAAGTCTCCCTTGCAAATGTTTGGATTTAAAGGTAAAAAGTATGATGCAGGCATATTATCATCAAATTATTTTTAAAAGTCAATGAACAGTCATAGTTACATTCTTGTTATCTACAAGAGTAGCATTTACAAACAGCTTATAACCAAGGACTCTAACAAAAGAAAGAATTAAAGGAAAGAATGTGGAGTGGCTGCAAGTTTCAGTGAAACTTTCTTT